GTAGGGAAATCACTGAAATCAGAATATTCTAAGCAATGAATTAAACATAAGTGTTTAGTGAAAGCTACACATATCAACCTAAAAGACAGACTTACAAACACACAGCTTGCCTCATGTTTTCCTCCTTTTTTTCTCTCCGCCAAAGATACATAAAATAAAGCAAGAGGATGAATGTAAAAATACACAGGTTAAACTCACTTAAATTAGAACTCACTCATTAGAATTTGCTCACTCAAATAAGAACAGATCCACTGACGCCACTGAGTTATACAGCATGCATAATCTATTAGCACTTGATACTTACTGTAAGATGACAAGCTCTCTATCCAGCACAGTACAATATCTAACCTTTAAATTATCCATATGGATAGGCACACTATACTTTTGTACTAGGGTATTCATGGTCCCAAAGTTAAGTATGTGTTCATGTGTTTTACCGAACTGGCTGTCATTGTGCAACATCATAACACCATACCCATGAACTCTCCCTCCAAAAAGTTATGAAAGGAATTATGAACATATGTACAGTCTACATTTTTATATGCAAAACTCTATGGAGAGTCCAGATCTTGACTGCAGTAGGAGTGCTTGGGTGAAATGAACAGGATCTACTTCAGTGTTAGCACATCTACTTTATAATGAACACCATATGAAAGTAGAACGAGCATCTGCCTGCCAAAACATCAAATCTGAACTAACTCTGCTCATTGATACACTATTTCAGTCAGTGTGTTGTATTTCGGCTACATGTGCCCTTTATTAATAATTAAAAACACTTCCACACAAAAAAAAGCATTTTAAAATTAATTACAAATGTACAGGAAATAATTTTTTACAATTATAAACTCCGATCCCATTAACACAAACACTGTTATGTGCAGAACAAGAGTAGCCTTATTCTTGAATCCTATTGGCATGTGCAAGAAGATTAATGTTTGATTACTTATATGTATTTTGTTTGCCTATACAGGTTCCTAGAACATGTACTTTAGCAAATAAAATGCATTTTTAAACATGTTACATACTTGTTAAAGTACAGAGAAAGACTAATCAGATCAAGTAAGTGTCATGGTTTAACCCCAGCCAGCAACTAAGCACCACACAGCCGCTCGCTCACTCCCCTGTCATGGGATGGGGGAGAGAATGGGAAGGAAGGAAAGTGAGAAAACTCGTGGGTTGAGATAAAGACAGCACAAATCCAAAACACAGCCCCATACTAGTCGCTATGAAGAAAATTAACTCTATCCCAGCCGAAACCAGCACAGTAAAGCAGAACTCTCCCAATAGATCAATTGACTTGGTCACAGAAGCCTTCCTTCTTTTGAAATCAGACAACATATGATCAACATTTTAAATATGCATAAAATAAACTACAATTACTTTTGTTTCCTGTGAAGGGTGAAAACATTCTATGTTGTGTTCAAAGGCCAAAATTATTGTCTCCTCTTAAATACAGTAATGGTGCTTACCTTTCTCTCAGCTACTTACTAAAGGCCCAGAAGTCAGATGACACCGCCAGAGAAGTCCAGTAGTTTTATAGCACTTCAAAGTTGACTTCAAGACACAGTTCTAAAGGTTTTGCTTTTAAATGAATGCTGTTCAAAACAAATGCCTGGCAAAGGCCCAGATCAAAGTATCAGGTAATTGTCTAAGCAGTCAAAACAGAGAACACTTATTAATTAGTAATAAATATCCTGAATTATTAAAGATAAAACTTCTTTGATCTTTGTTTCAAAGCATTTTTTTCTTATGGTTGGAGTGCAATATTTCTAAATTGAGGGGCCTTTACTAAGCATCTCCCAGTTGCTGAGAAACAGTGTTGCTACAGAGACGGAAAATGAGGTGGAAGCTGGCACAATAATGCAGAAAGCACAGTGTGCTGTAACAAACAGTTGGTGCAACTACACAAAGAGGAAAAATAGTAAGTCCTAGTGGTAACATCCTAGAATAAGAATTGTTCAGACCAACCAGAAAGCTTACACACTCTTCAGTACACCCAAATGCTAGGGTTTATGCAGAATACATATAATATTTGTAAGACATACAATTATCTTAAAGACTGTTTTCATAAATTTTTCCACAGTTACCCTAACACCCAGGTAGTAGGATTCATCAATGCTATGAATATCCTGCATATATAGCATTACGCAGTAACTTGTGAGAAAATGTGTGCCAGAAATCACTTATTACCTACAGAAAACCCAAACTTAGTGGTGACTAAGTCTATCACTGTGTTAAAACTGTAACCAACTTTGAATATGTTATCATATTTTAGCTTTCCTATAATGTTTATTCTTTCTTTCTCTCCTAAGCAAAAGCTAGGAAAAGAAACCTTAGTTTCCATTCTATTATGCTTCCATGAGGAAAGATCTGAATTCCCTGCAGGCCACTAGGCAAGTCTAATAGGAATTATTTAGGATACAAGAGACATCCAAGACATTTGTTTTGTCTTTCTCCTCCCAACCTCTGAGAAGAAATTCTTTGCCTGTGGTTTTCAGGTAGTGACTGAGAAGACCGATAAGTCTGTAGAAACAGTTAATTTCCTTCTCATTAACAGCTGTGCAGTGTTGGTGCTTGAATTGCAGCTGTCCTGGCTGTGCCCCCTCCCAGCTTCTTGCTGGCAGGGCATGAGAAGCTGAAAAGTCCTTGACTAGTGTAAGCACTACTTAGCAACAACTAAAGTGTCAGCGTGTTATCAACATTATTCTCATACTAAATCCAAAACACAGCATTATACCAGCTACTAGGAAGAAAATTAACTCTATCCCAGCCGAAACCAGGACACACAGTCTCCATCTTTTAAGACACCAAAGACATGCAAGTGAAAGTGGTTCCTCAACAACCCTGTTTAGACAAGGACTTAATTGCATGTTTGACTTAAAACATATGAGTAGTTCCCATGAAACTCATGAAATAAATAAAAAACATGGAGACAAAAATGATCTTGTCAGTAAGGAGATGCATGCAGTTAAATTGTGTTAAAAATCAATTTTGCCTGAGAATATACATTCTTACACAAGTACTGCATTTCATTACATCTGAAACAAGAACTTGGAGTTCTAAAACTGCTACTCTGTGTGTGACATTCTTGCTCAAAATTGTCTTAATATGAACGTTTTAAACATTAAAAGATGTTCTTGAAACAGTTTATTGGTTTGAAGAAATAAGTTGTTGGATGTAAATGAAATCCTAGACTCATTAAAGTCAGTAGGAATTTTGCTTTGGTCTTCAGATTAAGAATATTATATTCACACTGTTTTTGAAATATTTTTCTGCCTACAGATTTCCAGGTTTTTGATGAGGAAGATACTGTAAAAGCTATGACGATGTTTTGCCTTTCTTTGTAGTTTGCTCTTTTGAGCAATGGAAATGTTGGTTTAATATGGGAATTTTCTCCTCCAGACAACTCTGGCTAAAGTGAGCCAGTAGGCAAGGTTTCCATCTCTGTAAAAAAAGCAAAAACAGTACATATTTTTGCCAACCTCCTAAAACACTTACACATGCAAGGAGATAAGCAGGGCACTTAGGTAATCCTTGAATAGTACAGGACTTGATATTAGTGTCACAAAAGCAGGCCATAACTGAGCAGTTAGCTGCTAGCAGTGGAAAGGCCCTCTGCTTAGTGTTTAAAGCAGCCACAAGAAGAATGGGACAGCTCTACAGAAAAGCAGTGCCATACAAATAGAGAGCAGACAGGGAAGGACACTCCTGTCTAACTGGGAATCTCCTGTCTGGGTTAATCAGGGTCATGATTAGTGGAATAATTAAACTCTGCATTTATCAAGAAAATCTTATCGTGTCTGTAGTCTTTTCCTGAGAAAAAAGCATGGGTAACCAAAAGGCTTATGTGCTCACTAAAGGCCTTGGGCATCAAGCTTCAAATAGTTTCCCCATTCTTCAGCCTGCCCTTAATGCAGAACAGCTCATCATATGGTAAGTGCTGATGTAAAAGTACTGGAAAGAATCTGAAGGAGGGAGAAAGAAAACTAACTAGGGAAAAGGCCCGTAGGACTTAAAAGTAGAAAGAAATGGCTAGAATACTGGGAAAGTGCAGGGATTTGGGAACCTGAGAAAAGGGAAAAAGTGAGAAAACAACAATAAAACACACTTTAAAGTTCATCTGTTCTTATTTTGATGAATGATTCTTCTTTCCTTTATATAATCTTAAGAGGACAGAGAACTTGAAAAGCAAAATAGGTAGGAAAAACAGCCCAGAAAGACTTGGGAGAAGATGTGGTTTTTTTATTCTGCACGGAAAAAGTAATTGTGGATTCAGGGGAGTTTTGCCATGGTAGTATCGTGTAGCCTATAGCTTTCCCACATGCTCCTAAATATTAGGAAGGGATATTGGAGTTGTTTTATAGATTTCTAGTTGAAATTTCTCATATTGTTGTGCATTTTAAAAAATTAAGTCATGATAAACTTGGTATGTCATTAACAAAAAAAGCGAAATTGCTTAATAATTTATAACACGGGGATCTCCAAAAGATCTTTCATCTATTGCAATTGGAAGAAGTGGCAGATGTGGCTGCCAGTTACCGAGATTGCCTTCTCTATGGTAAGTAGGAATATCTCTTTTTTTAGCCTATTGTCTTTGGGTGTCTCAACCTTTTCTTCTTCTGACTGGCTTATAGACTAAAGATGTTGAATTAACTGTTTGGTACTGTAACAAACAGAAAAAATGAGAACTTTTAGTTCCAATTTACAGTATTTTTTTCTCTGTTAGAAATTAAATTCATTATTTCTAGATAGTAAAGAATAGTAAAGTATAGCAAAGAATAGCTTCAAAAACATAGCAGGACATATGGTGAAAGTGCTTTTCTAATAATAGTTACTTGGGTTAAAAAGATTTTATATTTACTAATGACCTAAGATAAAATGTGTCATGCTAAACGTATTGTTTACGCTCAGCTTTTATATTCATGATCTGTGAAGGACACAATCGAAACTTATCAAAACAAGGTTGCTACCATGCAGGCTTGCCCTTCCTATCACCATGCCCCAGGCATGGTCAGGATACATTGGACAAGCACTTGTTATTTATGTTCCTTCCTGAAGGATTTTATATCCATTTGAAATGAAAGGGACATAAAATAAGAATCCATTACTTAAATTCTCACTTAAAACTTGATCTCATCTTTTATGGGGAGAAAAACCCACCTTGACACAAATATTTTTTACTAGTGATTTTATCAGCTCCATACGGATGCATTTCTTTTATTTCCCTTAGTGCAATGAGCTTTTCCTGAATGGAAAAAAAAAGCAGTTTTAATATCACCCATTCTTTTCATCCACTGTAATTTCTAGCATAAACTTAAAATATGTTAAATTAAAATAATCCTTATGTGTTACTAGTATGACTGAAGATCACAAAACTTGATTGAAGCTAGAATGTAGAGTTTGGGACCAGTCTTTTTAGTATTTTAATATTTAGTCAAATTAAATTCTTTTTGTCTCACTAAGTCACAAGAAGTTCATGATGCAATTACTGCTCACTGATTTTGTATTTTCTGAAAAATCCCTAATTCTAGTAAAATCTGGCCTTCATTCATGCAGAGTCACAGCCATAAGGATCCCAAAAGATGTATCTCCTGGCATAGAACTACTCTGAATAACACACAAGCAAAATCAACATCAGCAGCATAGAATGTAGAAACATTAAACTGAAGATATTATTTCTGTTTTGCACAAAGCCTGCAGAATTTGGGGGTGCAAATTCTACACTTACATAGGTAAACTTATTTTGTCATCTCCTTTTTGGGCAACAGAACAGTAGTCTGTTCATTTCAATGTATAAATACTACCTCGCACTTCTAAATACCTGGTATTTATCATGCGTAAGTGCATGTATGCAGTTTGTACGTCTAACATTTGGAGTAAAGGTCTCAGTATCCAAAGTTATATGGCAACGTATCCATAGGTGGTAGAATGGGCATACTATAGATACAAGAAATCATCACCTGAATGAGCTCATGGGCTAAGCGTCCCAGAACTTCTTGGGTCGTTTCATTAATTTCTAATTCTGTCATGACTTCCCAGTTACCATTCTGGAACCTCACTGGCATAGAGAAGACAATCCCTTCAGGAACGCAAAATTGACCTGAAGAAGAGGGAAAAAACGACCCAAACGTATTATTTCTGATTAAAAAAACACATCCTCACCAGTGTCAAGATTAAGTCCTACAGACTTGCAAAAGTCTGCAACGGTAAGATCTTAGTATAAACGGAGACTGCCTTTTTCAGTGTACAGTTCAAAGACTAAAGAGTTCCCCTTTTACTGTAACTTTGTATTTTAGTTAAATGTACACGTAACAATTTTACATCTTAAGGGGAAAAAATTAATTTTTTTATTTGATACAAGGGTTAAATGGCTGTTGCGAAACATTCCATTTATTGGTTCACATAACTACACAAGAAGAACATGCTTTTATAGCTTAGGCTCTAAGAACTATAAAGAGTCCTTGCACAAAACACATACACCAGCAAACTATTAATCTAAGAGATGCTTGTAAGAAGTGAGTATCAAATCACAAGCTCTGGAGAGCAAAATTGCTTAGATCTGGAGGATCTTATGCTGAAACAAACTCTCAGCCTCCCATTATATCACGATTTGTTTTACAAGTTTTTATTAAATTAAAAATCTTGATTAAAAAAATAACATTATACTTACTGGAGAAAGCTACAAGAGAATATGTGAAGCAAAAGTAGATTTACCTTTAGTAAGTATTCCCACAGAAACGATCTCCCCAGGAGGAGAGCCGTGATACCAGTGTCTCAGTACAGTGGCTACTGCGTGAGCAGGTAACATTCCCACACAATGACAGACCCGGGAACTCAGTGAACTCTGTGCAGATAGAAATTCTGAATGGATCCACTCGCTACCAACAAAAAAAGGGGGGAAAAAAAAGAAGAAAAAACTAAGATGACTGCAGGAATAGTAGTTTTCTAGAGGAAAAAAGAACTAAACCTGAGGGAAGAAAATAGTCAAAACTTATTCAAACTTTATTACTGAAGGCAAGGCACTTAAAGACAGAAAAAATAGAGTCTAACAAAAAGTGGCTCAAAAGGTAACAACAAGCACTACTTATCTATGAAAGTTAGGTCATTTACTCAAGTCATAACCTCTATTATTATTACTTATATGTATTACTGTCTTATGTAAGAACCCAGCCGTGAACCATAATCCCCCTGGGCTAGGCGCAGTACAAGTATAGAGCAAAAGAAATGTCTGCTGTCCAGTAAATGCTAGGTTTAGATCAGAGTGGGAGTTCCATATAGCCAGGCCTCAGTGCATGTCACATTTGCTGCCCTCTCACTCCACCCATCCTTTCTCTGCTACCTCTCTTTCCAGGAGAAGCTATCTAGCTGCCAAGTAACCTTTTTACATATGTTAACAAATAAATTGTCTGTTTTGGGAAACTGACAACATTAGTGTGATCAGGCCGTACGTTCAATGGAATTCAGGTACTTCAAGATGAGGATATATGTTTAGTATTATTTCAAAGTTTCTTCATGCATACTAGACATCTAAGTCACTACCTGGACTTTCATTACTTCTTATAGGCTGCTCATGATATGATAGAAAAGAAACACACTTAATATGTAGGAAAATAGTTATAAACAAAGTTGGCAGGAGAGTCAGAACTATGTATTGCACTAGGAACTACTCAACTTCTTTTGCAGACTGAGTACTTCAACTTGAGTTTTCCTTTATGTACAGTGCTAGTCAGTAAAGACAAATCTTGAAAACAAAAACCTTTCTTGATGTTTATTACACAGTTCAGATAAACATAGGTTAAAAGCCGTTATTTGGTTTTACTTTAAAAAAAACAGATCTGTACTGTACCTATCATAAATCATATTCAACAAAGGACGTGGAAAATTAGCTGGGCCCCAGATAGCACAGTCATATCCATAAAGTTTTGCATGTGACAAATCGATGTAGTTACAGCCAGTAATATTGCCCCAAACAATCACGTCTTTAACTCCTGTAACAGAGGAAAATATGTAGATTAATGAAGAGACAGACAAATGCTTTCACAATATAGGCTGGACTAGATGACCTTCAGAAGTCCTTTTCAAGATGAATTATTCTTCAATTCAGTGTCCTGCCTTGATAGCAGAAATGATTTGATCTGAAAAAATGCAACAAGGTTCTTCATAACTTATGAAACCTCATCACAAGCTAAAAAAGGAACTTTATATGTTATTGTACATAATAGACAAAACCTAGTAAACACTTAGCTGTTAAAAACCAAAACAAATCATATTGCAAACATACAGCAATGTTCCTTTTAAAATCCTGTACACGCAAATACAGAATGCCTAACAGTAAAAAATAATTAAAAAAAACTTTTTTAATTTTTAAAAACTGCTTCAGTGCAAAAGGAATTTCTCAGATAACCTGCTGGTATGTTATTCAGCCTATTAACTTACTTTTCTATTTTATTAGGCTCCAAAATATCTAGACTTGTCATTAATGACCAGTTCCTACCCCTGCAACATTGAAAGAAACCTGATGCTGAGCAGGCTGTTGGAGCATACCTTTGCTGTGCAGTGCAGAACCATGCAAATATAACCAAGCTATAACAAATGACCTGAGAAAGAAAGCTAATTAACCCAGAAATAATACTATCACACAGTTCTACTATACTCCTGTTATCTGCACAGCAGTATGCTGTTATGTTTGTTCACAGCTAGTTTGTGTGTCTCCAAAATAACAATGCACTGCAGAGTGCAAATGCAATCTTGGAGTCCTAGGTCCTGATCTGCAACACAACTCAGTCCTTCTTAGCACCTTTCCAGCATGAAATACATGCCAGAATGGCAGGGCTGCATCCAAGAGTTAGCAAAAGAATTGACATTCATGGGATCAGGCACAGATCCAGATAGCAGTAAGCACAGGGAACGGTAGTACCTGCTAGTCACACCCTGGCATTCTGTACAGCCATGCAATTCAGTGGGTGCACTGCTATGCTTGCACTTCTGCATGCACATCAACAGTGTTCTGCAATGAAATATGTACTCTCGAAGGTGTCCATCCACTGAATTCCCCAAATGCTACCAGAACACATAAATATTCACCTGCTGCATTCATATTCAGCTTCCTGGCCAGCATGGCTTTAGCTGCACTTTCCCAGGATGTTGCAACGGCAATGACATTTTCAGGCTTAATGGACTTGCCATATGTCATAATCATCATCGCCTTAAGGTTTACAAAGGTTTTTCCTGATGAAATTACTCTGACCCCACTCTTGGCATTCTTCTCAATCAGGGGAGCATACACTTGACAGATCTCACTCACTTCTCTGATGTAGTTCTCAAGGGATTGGACTTCATGGTTTAAGAGGACATCATCAAGAACAATGATAATATCGGCTTGAATAAAAGCCTCATCTATTTCAGTGTGCGCTGAAATACTGTGGAGGAGTGGGAACGCCATGTCTTCAGCTTCCATTACAATACCGCAAAGAATGTCCTTAAACTGGTCAGTGTCAAGCAAATGGATACTGATTTCTGTGGTCATCCCAAACACTTCTCCATTGGCCAGCAGAGGGATCAGCTGATAACAGATTGAAGCTGATGCACTGATAAGAGAAGGATATAGAAAAATTATAGTTAAACATGAACCACTTGGGTTTTTTTTCACAAACTTGCTTGTTTGGAAGTATTACATAAATAAACATGAAGATCTTTCTTTTGTATTTGATTATGTTTAAATAGACCATTAGCTTGGATCCTTTATTGCTCTTTCTGTCATTTTAACAGGTTAAAAATCAAAACACTTGGGGTCCCCTTTCATTTGAAGGTTTTTCCATCCTCTACATTTCAGGAGATACTGTCACTTAAAAATTGGTGTCTTTAAAGAACCACAATTTTTTTAAGGTGCTCTGTTAGGACTACCAGAAAAACAGAAATTTCTAAAGCTGGAACTGCAAGACACTCTTTACTTATTTAAATATTTCCAAAAACATTTAATGCAAGATAGTGGCACTACAAAATTCCTAGCTTATTTTGTAAATACTTGCTTTTCCCTAAGGTGGGTCTAAATGTTGCCTGTTCACATCCCTCACTTAAACTGGTGCAAAATGTAACAAAAGTAGAAATAATTTCTAAATTATATACTGAGTGCTCATAGCGAGGGGTGCAGAAGCTAATTCAAATCAGCAAATTACAGGGATTCAGGTATAACTTAAGACGGTTACACCTGTTATATGTGATAGGAAAAAATGCATTCTTCTGAAGCTGAGTGAAACTTCATAGATATTCTTTTTACTCTTACCTGGTGATCCAGATCTGCAAAGGCTTGATAAGACTTTTAATCTCTTCCTCTTCTTTTTCAATTTCAATATGCGCTTGCAGGTTCTCCTCAGCAATGTCTAACATTTCCTCACTCGACATCATTGAGGTGATGCCATAATAGTGCTAAGAACAAAAAGGATGATCTCTAATCAAATGACAACCCAAACATAGCAAGGTAACATTAGAAAGGATAGCTTTATTTTACATTTGTAGGAGGAATAAAGAACAACAATGTTATAAGAAAATGTAAAATATAGGTTTACAGTATTAAAGGCAGCTCATTACCTGAGCATATTCCAGAAAATCATTAACTCCTCCCAGAAGCAGACCCTTCCCTCCACGGTCCAACAGTTCTCTCCAAACGATAGGAGACCCTCTGTGTTCCCATCCATTCATTTCACAAATGTCATGAAGCCACTGCTAATGTAAACATCCACGCCAAAAAGTTGTAATACTTTTTCATATTTGATAACACTTAAATGTTACAGCTATAAACATTCATATTATTTCCTCTCAATACATAATTACAAGGTGCTTCACAACTTACTCATGTACCAGTGCGTGCAAAATGGGGGAATAACACAAAGCAAGGCATGGTGATACACTGTGATACCTCAGCAAAAGAGCAACAGGTCTTACTTCTGCTTGATTTTACTGCTGTAATTTTGCTCAATTATCCTAGCGGTACTAAAGACAGCAATGTTGTGAAGCAGCGAGTAATCTGAGGATCTCTGTTTAGCTGCAGAAGGTAAGTAAGCTGCAGCGGCTAATTGTGATTCACTTAACTTTTAGTTACTTGGCTGAGGTGTCAAGCAAAAGATAAGAGGTAATAAACATCATAGTACTGTCTATCTCATGAAGTAATACTGCAATTTTTTCAGTTCTTTATAGGAACATGTAGACATGGCAACACATCTACAGCAAAAGTACTCGGATAAGCCCATCCACTTGATTTCATACTTCCATTGTAATTCAAAGCCCCTGAATGCCAGAAATGTTCTTGACAGGTAACAACTCTGAAGGCATATGCAATCACAGTTTGCAAAAGGTTTACATGCTGAGCAGCAATTTATACATAATAAAAAACCAGTAAACTTGAACTTCTTACTGACAAAACACAGCTTTAGGCTGGCCCTCATTTTGTGCCCATCTTCTGCGGTAAGACTCATGAGAAGGCCAGTCTCTCACAACATTCAAACCTTTCCTCTGGCTGGCTGTCAAAGCCAAAGCTGCTTCTGTAGCACCTCTACCCACACATCAAAACTCTAATACAGGACAAGAAGAGACACACTACAGATAAGCACATTCCTTGCTTTGTAGAGCACTGGGGCATCTACCAACGGCTTGACTTACAATCCCTTACCTCCCATTTGTCAGGGTGCTGAGTGATCTTGTGAACCCTGAAGTCTGGCAAGTTAGCCTGGAGATAGTCAGCCAGGAGTTCAGCTCTGGCATAGTGAGGGCAGTTTGCCTTACCTGTGAACACAGGGAGAACACTACAAATGAAAGATTTTGTGACATTGACTGATCAGGCCTTAACAGGCCAAACGTTTTTTAATTGTTCCAATTCAAAGAGAGTCTTCTGTAACCAGCATCCCGTCCGTGAGCTCCCAGTAATTAACAGGACAAGCGTATGAGCCAGCAAAGAAAGGATAATTTTGGAGGTGAAACAGTCTCTCCAGCCAGCGTTTAAGGGGCTGAGGAGGCCACCCCGCGGGGGACAGCAGCAGAGAGAGGCAGAAGCCTCACCGACGGAAAAAGAAGGGGAGACTTGGAAACAGCAGAGGCAGCGTGCCGTACGGACACCGCTCTCAAGAGAGGCTAGAAGAGCGAGAAGTTACGAAGCCCGCAGAGACGAGCGGCCGCTACAAGCACAGGCAGGCTGCCGCCG